TTTCTAAATTTTATTTTATACCTTTTCTATATTATTTTTTATTATTAATATTTACTAAATTACATAAATTAATCAAAATATAAAAACTATATAAAAATAATATTTTGAGGACCCTAAAGTGAAATAGGTTCCATTTTAAGGTTATATCGGTAAAATATAGGTTTGTTCCACCTTGTTCCATGGGGTGGGTTTGGATTGCGCCTGTTCCACTCTGTTTCACATAAAAGTCCCGCCAAACGGGGAGCAGTGATCCTTATTCTCTGTTCTGTCTTGTCCAGTGTACCAAACGCAATAAGGGTGGGAACTTTAGACAGAATAAAAATGTGTGATATGACAGAATAAAAACTTGTTATCCCAGTGCAACTTTAGACTAGACCGGATGGGAATGAGTAGGACAAAAATGCATTTTCTTTGTCCCACCAAAATGGGCAGGACAAAAATCAAGGGGACGCGTGAAAGAATTGTGGATGGTTTTAACGGTTATAACTTAACATGGGTAGTGTTTATTAAGGAAATTGTTTGACTGTTTGTCAAATATCTAAGATAGCCACGGACCGAACACTTTGACCTTTTATTTGATCGTCTTGTGTAGGACGGACGAGGACACTGATGGGAAGGAATTGTTTCTTTCGCATCAATCGACTTGGCATAATGTAAGATACCAACTCCTACTAGGCGTATTTAGGCGCTTTTGAATTTGTCAAAAGAAATCTTAATATTACAACATCTCAAATTCCAATATATCAGTAGATAACATTACAACAGAATCGACTTTATAGGTGCAAATGTTCTAATAGACTGTTTATAGGACTTGAGCTTATATGACCAAACAATTGTGCATCCTAAGTAAATGTGGTACAATAATTAATACGACTTTTTTGGGCATGATCACAAGTTTTATAACACAATATTGAAATAAAGCGCCTTATTAGTCTTTTGATATGATGTTATTTGAAAAGATGTGTTCAAAAGACACTTTTGAAAGTGTCCTAAAAAAGCTAATAAGACATTTTATTTCAAAACTGTCCTAAAAATCTTGTTAGGATGTACAAATACGCCCTAACCTCGTATTGTAACATCTTTATATAGGACGTACAACTGGACCTATAAGCTTAAGTCCAATAAAGCAATCTATTAGGACATTTAGACATCTTTTACGTCCTATAAAGCCAATTTTATGGAAACTTTGAAGCATTCATATGAATTATAAGCATTTGAAAGTTTGTTCGCTACCTCAAAAAGTTAAACCGTAAATTTCTAGAGAGCTAGTAAAATTTACCAATTGCAACTTGTTTTCTTGTCATTCCAGCTTGGCACTCCTAGTTCTCGACGGCTAACCGGGAAATCAAAGACATCCAAGAAACATATTCTCCCAAATCATACTTCAAACTATACTCCTTCAACCTCTTCAACTCGTACACAATTCGCGTTTCTTGACTTTAACTCGAGTCAAACCCGAGCCATTCAGTCAATGATAAGTCAAACTCTAGCAGGACCTTCAAACTTCTACTATCCAAACCAATCTCCATATCCAATTTTCCCACCACATTTGGCAAATTCTTTTATGCCCATGATGTATTGGCCTCCCCCTAATGCATTTCCTCCTCCTTTCACTTACCAATCTTTTTCTTCCTCAGGAAATTACATTTCTACCCATTCACAACCCCTTTTCACCCATGTATCAAGTAATACTCTAGAACCCAATATGGTAAATTATGTTGTGAAGAATGGTCCAGGCTTGGAGAAAACTGATAATGATTCTAGTAGCAGTTCAAGCAACACAGAACCAAAAGAGACTTGAAGAAGCTGCTGAAACTGATAACTTGGTAACAGTTTATGAGCTCCTTATACATATATAGAGAGAGATTCATGGGAAGACCTCCAAAAAAAGAAAAAACTGAGGAACACCCTGGTCACTATTCATCTGGACGATATGCAGATGTGCATACAAGTAATTGAAGTTGTTTCTTGGTTTTTATGCACATGTGCATACCGGACAAATTGCATACAAATTACTTGTATGCACATGTGCATAACGTCCAGATGAACGGTTAATAGGGTGTTCCTCAGTTTTTCATTTTTTTGCCGTTTTCTGTTAACCCTGACCCTCTATATATGTGCAGTTAGACTTTTATTTTATTTATTTTTTGTCCTTTTTATGTTGAATTTAAGAGGATATAATCTGTTTATCATTTACATGGTAAGTTTGCAATTTTGAAGTCTGCTTTTTTAACCATTTCTAGTTTACACTTCCAAGATTTGAGCTTTAATGTCAAGAATCATTGGACCAAGAATACCCATCAAGAATCAAGTCCCGTTTGGTGCACATGAATCACTACAAGAAGAAAATGAGTTTTATAGGACGTCAAATATGTCTAAATGTTTTAATAGACTGCTTGTAAGATCAAACAATTGTGCGTTCTATGTAAAAGTGTTACAATAAGTTGATAAGACGCTTTTGACCAGACAAGATTTTAGGACGTTTTCTAAATAAAGTGTCATATCAAGTGTCCTATGAACAATTTTTAGTAAAACACTTCTTTTATTAAGACACTTTCCAAAAATATCATATAAAAAAAGACCGTATGACGTATTATTTTACAAGTATCCTTAAAATTTATCAGGGTGTCCAAAAGCGTCATATCAACTTATTATAACATTTTTATATAGATACACAATTATTTGTATCTATGAACTTAAATCACATAGTCTATTAGAACATCTTAGACATATTTGGCGTCTTATAAAACCGATCTTGTTGTAGTAAATGGGCAAGACCTCACAAAAATCATATCCACTTGATGTCCTTGTTTGACACCACGAACCTATAAGAATATGTGGAATCCCCATAGAGCCCTTGAGTAGAGAAAGGCGGTTCCAACATATATAGACACACCCCTTCCAACGGAGGCTAGACGGGCACAAATTGTCCCAAAGTGTGAGAGGGGTCAAGACGGGTATAGATAGCACTAGAGTGTCAAACTTTCTAGAATGATAGACCTTTGCTTTGATACCATGTGAAAATGTAGGATTCTAACAGAAACTTCATCTGGTTTTATCTGGTTTTGTCCTTTTAAGAAGGAATCCTAACACATGTGGTGTGGGCCTAAATGATTCCATTTATTTAGTGTCGGCACTTGTCTAGCAATCCTTACCCTACACATGGAATTCAATAGAGTTTTGAAGTTTGAACCCCACTAAAGGGGTGCCAATACAGTACAATTTTAGTGATGTGTAGGGTCTAATTTATCTTTCTCTAATCTATCTTTTCTAAATAAAATAATATATATGGATAAGACTGAACGAGTGGGAGTAATACAGACTTATGAAAGAATCGAGCAAGATTTTTGGGTTTTAATTTGACATGGATAGTTTAGTAATTTATTATCTTGTCTCGTTTTTCTGATCTTTCTTCTATTTATTTTGGTGGGATTAAAAAAATGCATTTTCTCCCGTTCAGACAGTCATTGTCCTGTCCAAGTCAAAGAACAAGTTTTTGTTTTGTCCCTTTCTGTTTCGCATACCAAATGCAACTAAAAGAATCCTTAGTGTTGTTCAAACTTCAAATATATATGGATTAGACTTGATGAGTGAGAGTGATTTAGACTTGTGAATGAAATGTGCAAGATTTTTAGGTTTTAATTTGACATGAGTAGTTTAGTAATTTACTATCTTGTCTGATTTCCTGATCTTTGTTTTACCTATTTTGGTAGGACAAAGAAATGCATTTTTATCCCATTCAGACAAGCATTCTTGTTCTACAAACCAAATGCAAACTAAAAGAATCCTTATAGAAAGAGGAGATGTCCGATACATCCTCTAAACAGAAGCTAGACGAGCCCTTGAGACAAATCGATTTCTCTAGACGTAATAGACCCTGATCCTAACCACAAGGGTGGTGTCTGATTGGTTTGAACTTGACTCCAAAGGTCAAAAGTACCAGGAGGTCACAAGTTCAAATCCAAGGAGGAATAAAATCCCTTTGTGGTCACAGAGGTTCAAATGCTTTGACTCCGGATTATTTGCAAAGCAGGTGGTCGCTCTAGAATTAGTCGACTTGTATAGCTGATTGAATAGTTAATAAAAAAAAAAAACCCTGATCTGATACCATATAAAGATAATATAAACCCCCTTTAAATCTCTCAATAAAAACAGGAGAAGTTAACAAGGACAATGGCATGATTGCCCTTTTGCAGGAGAATCTTATCTTTTAGATTAAACACATATTTGTTTTTTATTATTGTATTAACTTTATCCATTATGGATTTATGGTCCTGACAAATTGCTTTAATGCTTTTTTCTTTCTTTTAACACAAAACTATTCTCTATCATCACAAGTAGTATATGGGTGGGGTTAGCTTAGGGCTGTTTATTTGCAGCTTAATAAGGTTTATTGGTCTATCTGGTTTATCCGTACAGTTCATTTGGGTTGTTTACTTACGGCTTATTCACATAGAACATGGCTTAATCGCACGGACAAAAATGGTGTGTTGTCCCCATTCAACCACAAAAATGACACCCCTACTCTTTATTTAAAGCACCGCCTCCTTTCCATATGAGACACCCATCTTCGGCCTCTTTATGATTTTTTATTTTGATGTTCAAATAATTAATATTGGGGGCAAAATCGGTCATTTATGTTATTCAGACTGTTGGTTCAGATAAAAAAAAGTAAACAACACCCCTCATTTATCCAGACAGACAAATTTATCCATACAAGACTTAATAAAAAATTTGGTAAACATAGTATAACTTGGATCTTTTCAAGTGAGGTTAGCCCTAGTGGTGATAAAACTCTTATCTTTAGGTTTGATTTGTTAAGTGGGGTTAGCTCTATTGATAATAAAACTCTGATCTTTGGGTTTTTTCAAGGTTATCAGTTCGAGTTGAACAATGCCACTAGAAATTTTCTTGCTGGTTCTCCAAAAGCCTGAGATTAGTCTAAACATGCACAAACCGATCCCGACACCCAATATTTTGAAAAAGAATAGCCATGATGATGCATAGAAAAACAAAGAAAACCTTAGATTAATTGCATAGTTCTTGCTTCAACAACCACTTTTTCTTGCACCATAAATACTCATACTCCACCATCCATCCATACATCCATACATCCATATGTACATTCATTCACCATCATCACTTTCCCTCAAACATAAAGATAAAGAAACAAGAAAGCATGTCCTACATTTAACACTTTGGAAGCCACCACCATCATCATCTTTTTATTCTCCATAGCATCATCATCATCATCATAAAAAAGCATAAAGAAACCTTCTTTTCTTCAATGGTGTTTATTGGCAACATTGCATTGCTTTCTGATCTCACCTTCATTTCCAGTTAGTGGATTGTTCTCTGTAAGAATGGTGATTGCTCTGCCAAAATGCTTAAAGAAATAATCTTGGCTTTTTGCCATTTTCTTCACATATGGTTTTGTTCTTTTGTCTGTGGCCAATTGGTGATCCACAATCAACAATCCTTTGTTGTCTAGTATGTTTCTGTAGTAGTTGTTGTCGAGTATCATAGGGGTACCACGGTCATTTCTCACGTACTGAACCGCCTTTGGGTCGGGGATTGCATCTGGGCATTTGTGGAGCATGTGTGGAACATGATCCGGGTTAAGTGCGGGGTCCACCTCCGGATAGAGACGGTGCACCAGCTTCACGCAGTGTGTCCTACCAACGCTGTGAGAACCTGTTTCATGAAAACCATTGTTGAACTACTTCAAGAAGCAATAATTGTTAATAGTTTAACGAGACTTATAACTTATTTGGTCAACTATGAATAACTGTTTGGTAGTGGCTTAATGATGTAGGAAACCCAAAAATCTAACCGTATGAATACGTATGATGATATATACATACATTTACATATACATATACATATAACATATACATATACATATACATATACATATACATACCTAGTAAAGCAACAACTCCAGGGGTGTCAATGCCAATGTTCTTAAATCTTTCAAGAACCACAGACATGCTCTCATTGTGATCTGGGAGGTATTGCTCCAACACATCAGCTCTGCTCTTCCTTCCATCCCTTCTCCCTGTTTTCAAAGGTATGTATGGTCCTCCTAGCTGCCATTCAAACAAATTATACACAAAAATCACATCCTTGACCAAATAGCATCAAGATTTCTTGCATTTTGACTACTGAGTACAACTAAGGGTATGTATAATGAGCTTAATATGACTCACAACTTATTCGGTCAGCTATACATGACTGGTAATGATTTAATGATATAAAAGTAGCTTCTTCAGTAAGCTTCTAGGAGGGAATTTTATGCAGAAAGCCATGCTTTTTCCAAACTTTCCCTACTCAATTATAGAACACGCCATGCCCCTTCTATGAGAAAGCCCTCTTAATCTATACAGACAGATTTATCTATACATGACTTAATGGAAAACAAACCAAACGGCCCCTAGTGCCCGTAGATATAACAAGGGTTAGCTCAACCGGCAAATAAAGGCTTGGTCTTGGGATTCCTTCTCATAGGTCGTCAGTTTGAGTCTTCTCAGGGTCACTAGGATTTTTCCGACTGTTATTTTCGGGTTCCAACGGAATTAAACCCACTATTGAAAATAGTTATAAAAGAAATAAATGACAACTAAATAAGCATGCAGATCTGTGGTGTTTTTGAATATGTCAGGCCTTTTCAGAGTTAAAAAGCTCAAACTCAGAACATAGTACAAACTTTACTGCATAAGTTACAAGTCTTTAAAGCATTAAACTTGGGTTTTGTTTGGAGAAAAGGCTTACTTTTTATTACATAACAACTTTTGTAGCAATTATTACAAAGAGTACAAGTAACTATTACATGGTTGACATATGAAGAAATCCTATCAAGATTTCATGATGGGATGACTAACTAAAGTACAACTAACTAATGCATACTGATCTAACCCATGCCACGTGGCATGTCCAAAAATAGTAAAAGGTACCACTAACTAATGCATGCTGATCTAACGGACCCGCATCAAGATTTCTTGTGGGCATGTCTAGAAATAGTAAAAGCTTAGAACTCACATCAAGATTTCTTTCAGGGATGACCAAGAAAGGTACAAGTAGCTAATGCATGATGCTCTAACCACCCAAATCAAGATTTCTTGCGGGCATGTCTATAAATAGTAAAAACTTTCAGGGATGACAAAAAAAGGTACAAGTAACTAATGCATGCTGATTTAGCCACTTCAATATTTCTAGTGGGCATGTCCAGAAATAGTAAAAAGTTAGAACCCACATCAAGATTTCTTTCAGGAATGACCAAGAAAGGTACAACTAACTAATGCATGCTGATCTAACCCACCCCACGTCAAGTTTTCTATCATGGATGACTAACAAAAGTACAACTCACTAATGCATCAAATCAAGATTTCTTGTGGGCATCTCCAGAAATAGTAAGCAAGAACCCTCGGTAATATTCCTTTGAGGGATGCCTAACAAAAGTACAACTAACTAATGCATCAAGATTTCTTTGTGGACATGTCCAGAAACAGAAAAGAACCCACATACCGATATCAAGATTCCCAGGGAAGACTAACAAAAGTACAACTAACTAATGCATCAAGATTTCTCGTGGGCATGTCCAGAAACAGTAATTAAAGGATCCTACTTCAAGATTTCTGTAAGGGATGACTAAGAAAAGTACAACCAACTAATGCATGCAGATAAAGCTTGGATCTTTGCAGAAATGGAGAAAATGTCTAAATAAAGAAACTGAATTTACCGCAACAATCCCTTCCCTTCCAGAAAGTACAAGTATATCTGCACAAGATACAACTCCTGGGCACTCTCTCTCTACAGCTTCCTTGATGGTTTCAAGATATCTGAAGTTTCTAAGCCCAAAACTCCTGTCGGTTTCCTTCTCAGACAAGCTTCTTCTTGTTGAATCCAGAAGCAATGAAGCATCACATGACTACAATAGAAAAAAGCCACAAAAAGATTGTAAACTATGCATGAAAACTTGTACTTTTATGTGCATTAAAGAGTTGTACCTCAACACCACAGTCATGGAAGATGTTTCTGAGCCAAGAGAAAGCAGTGTTCTTATGGCGTTTGTAAAGAAGTTTGACTTGTTCTTTGATGATGTCTTCAGCTTGTGGGCATGAATCTTTGTAGAAGTTGAGGACAAGGCCTGAGTCTGACTCGGATGACTCGGTTGACTCAGCAAATGAGGCCACAACTGTGAGGGAAAAGAGAGCAAAGAAAATGAGAGCTTTGGAAGCCATTGTTGCTCTCTGTGTGATGCTTTGAAACTCAGTTGGTTCTTGGTTTGTTATATAATGCCAACGATGGCGAGATAATTGCTCAAAATATCTCTTTTCGTATCGGCTTCAAATTAAATCTCAAACGTGATATATTCAAATGAACTACTATAATAAAATATGGGTCTTCCTTAACCATTCAGCGTCCTAATTTCGTTGTAAATAATTACCAAACAATTATATTTTATTTTGCATTATACCACGAGAGTCTTTTAATCATTCTGATCACTATCAAACCATTCAACAATTGTCAAACAATCATTAAATTAATTAATAATAAAATAAGTTGAGTTATGAAATGAAAATCTTCCATTCTCCATTTAAAACAAAATAAATTACATTCTTAATTTTAAATGTACTTTTCATAAAAATTATAATAAAAATATTAAATTGATGAAATTTATATAAAAAATGAAAAAAAATAATTATGATATTTATTTGAAACGTGTCGATATAGGTTTTTTGTTTTATAATTGAGTTTTTAAATTAGCAACTCATATTCAGCCATCATTTTCAATTTTTATTTTGTTTCTATTTAGGGTTTTTCTAACCCCACCCCCTCCTATGGGTGCATGTGAGGGGGTTGATATTCATACCTCTGACGTCACTTTCTCACAAAGTCACTCCCTCACATACCCACCCTCTCTCACATTCAACGAATTTTTTTAAAATAATAATTTTAAATTTACACTTTGTATCATTATAATTAGTTAATTAATTTACTTTACGTCCTTTACTTTTAAATTTTTTATTTTACACCTTTATTAAATTAACATACATAATCGTATAT